TACTTAGAGATTTATATATATTTTATATATATAAATCACTTTAAGAAGCATCTACTAGTGGAAGGGGCAACAACCCCTTAGTTAAAGTACTCCAAAAATGTGTCTCATTTCTGCAGCATTAGAAAAACAAAAGACCAGGTGAAATGTGGACATAGCCAGGGGATTGTCTGTTACATATTATGATTTCCTGTGTTAGATACAGTGCAAGAAAGATAAGTTAAATATGTTTTGACGTATATTTACTTCAGTACCTGTCCTATAACTGCACTATAAATACAGAATTGAATCAAACCCTCTTAACAAGATGAAGCACTGTAAGAAGGAATAAGGAGTCTTCATCATTGAAAAGTTTTCCTGCAATGGTCATACAAAATATTTGTCCACGAACACAAATTAAATGAGAAAATTTGTATTGTATTGGATGTTGAAGGAAGCCAAGTGTGTCTTATGATAGAGGTTCATTTCTTGCGGAGTGGTTCATGTGGAGAACAGCATACCATCAAGATTGTAACTGCAAATATGTTGCCCAAAATTTGTCAGGAAATGCTGATTGCACAATTTAGTTCTTGATGTGGTTTTACATCCAGATTTTCTTGTAAAAGGAGCCTTTTTTCAAATAGTTTTCCAAACTTGTTCGGCACATATACATGTAATTATTACATAATTACATAATAAGTGGAGATAACCATGAAAAATACTGAATTGAAATAAATTTCAGAGATATTGCTGACTTGGACGAACAGTATTTGTTCGCATATAAGCCCATTTATTAAGATTCTTAAATTCAACAGTTTATTGTGCTAGAAGGTTTCATTCCACGATTTTTTTTAATATCTATATTTGATGACAACTCTGTAGATAGTAACTGTAGTTTAACAATCAGTTCAAAAGCCCAGTTTTTCTTCTGGATACTCTGCCCACCACATACTTAGAAAAATAGTGTTACGTGATGAAATATCAGTGTGGTAGAATGACACCCTAAAAATGGATTTACCCCTTCCCTGTCTTTTCTGATAGTATAATTCTCTGGGATTCAGAAGTTTCTCTAAAAGTCCCCTACAAAGTGGCATCTTCGAATCTTAAGTTTGTGAAGTAATATACATATCCTTCCTTCATGCTAGTGTTCACTTGGTTGGATTTGATGGTCTTGAAGTTCTTTTCCAACATAAAAGATTCTATGATTCTAAAAGAAAAGATTCTATGATTCACAAATTAACTTTTCATCCATTCTTACAGCAATTATTTCAAGTAAGTTAATTAGGAGGTGAGTGTAGAATCTTGCATTTCAAGAATACCTTTTTGATATTAGTGTTTATTTACAAGCATGGTTATTTTTCCTTCTTTTTAGGAGTGTGGCATAATTTTGTTCTTGGTGTTGCAAGTTTCATTGTGCTGTTTCTGCTGCCAGCCATTCTCTTCCCTTTCTATTACACGGGTGTTGGGGCACTTGTCACTGAAGTCACAGAGGTAGGAAAAGACCTTTACTGTTTTCATATTGTATGCTTTGTAACCTAGAATGTACCTCTGTCTCTTCTTACCACAATCAAATTTTGTCAGTGCAGCACCCTGCAGAATCGAATACATTGCACTTTTTGTCTGGTTAGAGTTCCTTCTCAGTCTCATATTCCGTAGTGTTTAGTAAATGAAAGAACATGGCATGAATAATTATAGACTATCCAGCATACTATAAAACCTGTTTAAACATTTGAGATGAGTTTGCAGGCTTAATTCGGGGGTGTTTTTTTAACTGCCTTTCAATATTGTCACCAAGTAAATCTACTGGAAACTGCATTATCACTCTGGTTATTGCTATCTGTTTTTAATGGTAAAGATTATTGTGAGCTGATTTCCTTGCTTGTTTGGTCAGCTGGAAGCAAAGTAGAGATAGACTGCTGAGTTTCTGGAAAGGACTGATTTTTTTTTCTGACCTAATCAAGTACAGCACTGTTGTAGAGCTGAAAGGATTCAGTCTTTCTTGGCTCTAAAAATGAACCGGTATAACTCAGGAGGAGAGTGACATTTATTATGCTTCATGCCTGCAAAAGTATAGGTACACCCTGCTTTGTTGAAAGATTCAGGGTATTAATGTAAGCTTCTTGAACTTAAAATGTTAGAAAAAACCCACAGCTTATTAACTTGTATGAAGATACTTAAATCTGAAGAAGTTCCCCAGAACACTTGGAGACTTGCACTTTTATTTTTCTTTGCATTAAATAAGTTATTATTTGTAGAGGATGATGTTGTTGTAATGCTCTAGGATAAGTTGAAATAATCAGTTCTAGTGAAGCCTGAGATTTTCTGTTTCCCTGGAAATAGTGTCTTAACCTAAAGATTTCATGGCTCTTCGCCAGAAACAAATCCTTATAGTTTTAACTATAACAGCATGACCAAGTTCACTGTTTCTTCTCAGGATTCTCCTGCCAATGGACCAAGAGGTCTCTTTGTAGGAGACCTTGTCACTAACTTACAAGACTGTCCAGTTTATAGTGTGGAAGACTGGAATTCGTGTATGGGAGACATTTCAGAGAAGTCCCAGGTTGGCTATTGTATAAGTGCAGCTACCCTACAGCAGTTAAACTTTCCAACTAGAGGTATGGCTTTAGGCACTCTCTCCATTATTTTATAGTGTCATTGTATCATGTCGTAAAGACTATTTTGAATTTAAGATTTGTTGATGGGGACAGATTCCTCGTAAGTCAAGTCTGCTGTCCTGTCTTTAGCAGTGACCAATATGCCATTAATTTCTGAGAAATCTGAAAGTGAGAAAGAGGTAGACAGAAAATAGAAGAATTTCTCTAGTCTGCCAGTCATCCTATACAAATACCCTGTATGATCTGAATAATCAAATTTGCCTCTTCAGGATATTGCATGGCTTGGTTATTAGCAGTAATACAATTATGTCCTCTATTTTTAATTCAGTTATATGGATCAACACAGTGATCTTCTGCAGTGGTGAATTCCACACATTACCTGACTGCTTTGATCAGCATGACATTACAAATTGTATGGCTTAACCCAATGATGTGCTTTATTATGGCGGCTACTTCTGATGTGTCTCGCTATACGGGTTTTATGTTTCATTTGCTGCCCCAACCTCACCATGTTATTGCCCATAAATTTAGTTTTGTCTGGATTGCACATATTGCTTCTAGAAGTCAGTGTATTTCCTTCTGCTTTCATTTATACATTAGCATGCTTGCTGCTGTAAGGGCTTATCCCTGAGAAACAAAAAAATGTGAACTGAACTAAACTAGAACAATAAACAAAAATTAAGTAGAACAAAAAATAACAGTCAAGTTAAATTGGCTGAATGTCTTGTGACATGCCCTAAAGCTCTCTAGAATTTGTTTCATGCAAGCATCCATGGCGACTGAATTCCAAAGGTAAGGGGCTGCCGCTGAGCAAAACCTGTGTGGTGCTATTTGGAGCTTTAAAATTGTCACTGCACTTTTCTAGCATACTGGAAGTAAGCAAGAGGTCAGGCAGCTCGACTACCCATGTTTTTTAATGCATTATAGTGCTCTTGTGAGATTGAAAAGGTAATTAATTTTTTTTTTAGTATGTAAGGAAAGTAATCTTACAGCTAGAACTAAGATAAATATTTAAACTGGAAATGAACATATTACGCGTGAGATCCTCACGCTTTTAGAAACCCAACAGTTTGGATTATCCTTCTGAAGAAGTGAACAACTTTGGCACATGTGTGCAGCTGGACTGGGACGGCAAGTGAAAAAAACAATTCTTAGGTGCTGTAGGTAGATTCTGCTGTTCTCTGAAGTGCATTTTCAGAGTCATGAGTAATAAAACTGCATAGTCTGCAACCAAACCAGTCCTATTTCAGTTGAAATACTGGAAGCTTAATGCTAGAGACTCAATATTGCTTCCAAGCTTGGTTGCTGTATTGTGTTAGCAGCTCATCTTCCCATTGCTGCATTCTGATCAGACCAGTCTGTCTGCATTTTCGGAGCCATAAGCCTCCAGCAGTGAGAAATATTCCTCAGAAATTAAATGAGCTCTGTTTGGTCTCTAGCAGCTGTCATTTGTCAAAATCTTGACAGTTCACAACTTGACATAAATACAGGATATCAATAAAAATGTATCTAGCAAATGGACCCTATCTACTTGACCATAAAACAAATGGAGAGTAAGCTATTTGAGTATGAAGTTAGACAGAAAACAGTGCCCCAAGGACCTTCTTGAAATTATTATTTTAAAAAAAAAAGTGTTTTCAGTGTAGTTTTTAAGGAAACTAATTTCGTGGTCATTCACTATTCAGAATTGTATGTGGTTGCTTAGCCTCAGCGTACTCGAAAAAAGGACTGTGTGGTACAGTGCTTGCACCTGTAAGCCCCAGGCATAAGGCTCCGTGTTAGTGGACTGCAGGTTATGCAGTGATAAATCAGCAACCAGTATCGCAGGCTTGATGTACCTAAGGCAGGTACTGCAGTTTTGCTGAGACACAGATTCTTACAGTGACCATTTCTTTAGAGTGTTAGGTTTAATTCATTTAAGGAACGTCCATACAAAGATTCTGTACCAGACTAGTTAGGTCATGGTTTGAAACATCATTTATTCACTTCTGCAGCCCTCAAGGCTTGGAAAGCTTTCAAAACCTGAATCTTGTAAAGGCTATCACCTTTTGAGGAGGACATTTTGAGTCCTGTCATTTCTATAGCCAGGCAGTGACATCAGTACAGTAGCAGGTAACAAATTTCTATACCAAACCTCAATGCAAGTTGGGAGCAGTGGATAAAAGTATTTTACAATTCATAATGCTCAGAACATTGCAGGGGTAAATCCCCAGTACCTCAAGGAGACGGAAAAATCCCTGTGTGACATGGTTGAAATCAGGTGACATTCACACACATAAATAGTAAAGCTTATATTTAGTTGTGACTGAACCACAGCTAGGCTGTGTGAATCACTGTCATTCTGGAAGGCTACAAAACAATTGTTTTACTTTGTTAAGAGACTAATTTCTTTCCAGGAAGTTATTATAATATTGATCATTTGCCCTATGCCTATGTTCTTTAGTCTATAGAAGACTCGATGGCACAGTTGAATGTTGTAGTAACAACAGCCTCACAGACATTTGCTTTTCATACAGCAATAACTTGGACAGCCACCTGGTAAGTTACTTAAACTAACTCTGTTTAGTAAATCTGAAATTATTTAAATTAGTAATATTTACAAACATTCATGCAGCGTACTCAAGTGCTTAAGAATCCCTACAGTTTGTAATGAAGGTGTATGTGTATGTTGTTCTCCTCATTTACAGCTTAAAAAACCAAAGTATTATTTAAGAATTTTCCCACGATCCATCAGGTAGTCTGGAAGAATCAGAAAATATCTTAGACTTTTCATTCCTTTAGGCAGAAAGACATCTCACCCATTTTCACCCTTGGCTCACAGTATTAGTGAGAAAAAACAGCTTTTGAGACAAGGTGAAGCTGCTTGTTTTGGTGCTTCAGTCTTTAAAGGTGCTGAGTATTACAGGCAAAGCAAAGCACGGGGCTATGTGTTCAGGTATTTTGTCTGAAGCCAGCAGTGCTGTTCACTAGGTTAAACTAAAAAAACATGCAAGAGAAGGCCCTAGAGATTGCCCAGTTTCTCAAAATCAGGGCCTCTGTTTGATTCCTTTTTCACCGTGTTGTTTTTCTTGTAACACATGGAAACATAGAAAGTTTCTGAATAGGATTTTGACTTGCTATTTTCAAAATACAGAAATCTTTGTTAAAATAGGTGATCCCTATTGAGCATGAGGGTATTTCTAACCATTTTCTAACTGTATTTCTAACGGCTCTCTTTACAAGAAAAAGTGCACAAGTACCAACTGTGTCAACTTTTCTACACATACCAGTTTGTTATTGTTCTGACCTCTAGTGAGAAATACCTAAAGAAATGGAATTAAGTCTGTTCCTACAGCTGCTACGTTTGCAGTTTCTGCAGTGGTAAACTTCCCACTCCAGGGTGTTTTTGTGGTATGTAACCACTAAGAATTGAGCACAGACCAGCAGTTCATTTGAAATATGGCAGTGGCTGGTAACATCCTGGAGTTCAGCAAGATTTCATAAATCACTACCCCACTGAGCTTTGACATTCTGAAGCTCATAGCTGCTTCTTAGGAACAGAGAAGTCATGAAAGCATCCAGAAGCCTGTGACCTTCAAGTGTCCTTAGATTGGCTGTGAGTTTTTGAACAATTATCTTAAGTAGTCTGTGCAGCGCTATGCAGCAGTATTTGAAAGTGTGCCCTCTCCCCCTCATTAGAATAGAAAGAGCTTGTATTGAGGTTAATGGAGAATGTCTAACAGTCATGCATCTGTGGGGAGTCTTTATCTGTCAGGCTAAGAAGCAAGAAAATCCTTCCTTTTTTTTTTCCTACGGCAAACAGTACATGAAGAACTTTCCTTGTGTTTAAGAACAAAAGGAAAATTATCACTGAGCTTTTACGAGAGACATGAGGGGGAAAAACAATTTCCTGTTCTTTTCTGCTGTACTCTCTGTGGCCTGTGGGAAGCAAGAAAGATCTGGTCTTTCAGACTTTTCCCTTTTCAGAGTGAGAGTGTTACAGGTAGGATTTGGGACACAGCACTGCATTAAGTCCTGTGTTCATGTTGGTTGAGAGTGGCTTCTTAGCTACCACACAGCTGGTAGGTTTGTTGGTTTGTTTGCTGAATCTAAGGTTTTGTTCAGCCAAATGAGGTTTTAGATCAATGACGACCGAAACTTCTTAAGCAGGTAAGTCACTAGTACGTTGATGCAGGCTTTGTTCACGAGAAATCACTGACACATGTTTAGATGCCTTGATTTTTGTTGTCCACATGTGTACCTTTTTAAAAATAGTTAGCTTTTATTTTGGTACACGTGCACACCCTCTTTTCCGCATTCCACCAAAAATGGAATGAGAGGTAGAGGTTTTGCAGGATTTGACAAAATAACCCCAAAAGTCAGATTTCAGCTCTTCATGGGCTGGTGGTATAACAGTGAGGAACTGCCTTTGCCTTAAAAAGGAAGATACAGTACATTTCTTTGATCTGTTGGAAAATAACTTTAAATTTAATAATAATTTTAAATGCCCTTTGCAGTATGCCTGTCTGCCAGCACGAAAAGTTATTGAGGCCAGCAAAGTTTGTCGAACCAACATGGACTGCCGGAAGGACTCTGTTCCAAGCTTTTGTGTGACTCCTTCTTTAGAGAACCAAACAAGGCTAATCAGGGTAAAACATCCGCCCCATATTGACATGCTGTATGTAGGACACCCCATGCATCTTCAGTACACAGGTTGGTATTATTTATTAAAACGGTTTAACAGAAAAGATTTCTAATATGGATTACTTTGCCTGGCTGCCTGAACAAGGTCTTGGCACACTTGTCAGTTAACTTGTTTAATGCAGAATCCATTTCTTGTTACAGCCAGTGGAGACACATGGACTACTCAGGCCTAAAATGAAATGTGCACAGTGCAATGAGTTACGAAGGTAATAGAAACCATATGCGGTATGAGATAGTTGGGTTTTTTTCAGAAAAGAAGGAGGGGGCTATTTCTATAACAGAACTCACTCAGGTTAGTTGTGGGAACCAGGCACCTGCATTTTCCTAACACATAAACTTCTCAGATTGCTATTGTAAAATATCTAGGGCATCTTGTTCTAACACCTTGCCGGAAATTTTAGCATGACTGCTTAAATCACACCTCATAGCCAAGTATCTCAGTATTCCCATGACTACTGAGCCACAAGTACAATCACAACACAGTTTTTCCTGGTTATTTTTTCAGTTATTGGTGTGCCCTAAACTGAATAACAAAAAGTTTATTATTTCCTTAATGTGAAATGGAGTACGGTTCTCCTTTAGGCAAGCTTATAACCTTGAGCTAGGTATAAAGTAAAAAGTAATTCTGCTCTTGGAGCAAGTATGGAAAGAATGAACTGAATTATCTGCATCCCTACTTAGTAGTTTGAGTGGCATGGTGAAAATTGGCTTCAGATGGGCTTAAAAAATCTGAAGTGTTAAATTGCTATCCCTTCCTGTGAGGAACTTGCCTCTTCCTCAGAGTCAGCTGTACCTCTTGGGTATTTTACTTCAGACATCTTGAATTACGTCCTTAGCAAGGCATTGGGCTTCTCTAAATAAGCTCTGAAATTAGGTACAAAAGAGCTTTAGAAACAGTGGTGAAATCTGGTAGTGTAGATTAGCATTAAGATTAACGTTCTTGCCTAAACATATTTTTATTTAGTCTGTCAGTCTTTACCTCTCTGTGCTGGTCATATTTCGATACTGTGTGAAAAATTATTTATTTATGCTAGTTTACACTACACCCTCATTTAAGCCCAGAACTTGATCTCTTCACTTACTATTTCTGCCCTCTTGCCATTTAGGAGGAAAAACATTGTTCACCTGTGTGATACCAATACACACTTCTATATTTGATGACATCTATTCCAAACGCAGAAACAAAATTCAAGAATAAAAGTTTGATAATTATTTTAGGTTCCTTTTCTTGGACTCTAACAATACAAACTGTAGGTACTTCAGAACAATTAATATTGTTCTCTTTTCCAGTATGTTGGAGCAATGGAGTTTTAGTCAGTGTTTCCTACTGAACAGTAATTCTGCAAAACAATTGAACCTGTCAGTCTTTCAGAGGTCAGAAAATAATTTTATTGCATCTAAAGAGATCGTTCTACTTTAAGAAGGTGCTGTGTGAAAATACAATTTACACTGTGTTTACAGGAATATCTTCTAACGTGATTGCAGCCTTCACTTTGAGCAACCTGGTCTAGTGGAAGGTGTCCCTGCCCATGGCAGGAGGGTTGGAACTAGATAGTCTTTAAGGTTCCTTCAAACCCAAACCATTCTATGATTTACTGTACTCTGGGAATTGCACATTGAATGTGCTAATTTGAAAGCTAAAAGCTTGACTTTATTACAAACTTGGCTGCAAATGCAGCCTATGCTCCCCAGAAAAACACCAGAGCTACAATTACAGCATCCTGGCTTGGGCAGCAGGTAGCCTACTCTACCATCATAGAGTTCCATGCATTCCAAAGAAACAGCTTCTGAACATTTCAGGCTTGACTTTGCACTGTACAATGCTGGCTTGGGGCCAACAGGTTTGAATTTTTTTCCAAATGTGACTGATTAGAATGCAGTAATGATTCTCTTACAGTTAAGAGAGGAAAATAATTTCTTCCTCTACTGGGTGACTTTTGAGACAGGAATATGTTCTAATGAAATGCCTTGTTCTTTTCTGTGATCTTTCTGTCTGCAGGAAACATTAGTTTTTAGAGTAGTGCCACATTTAACACACAACCTGATGTGGGAGTTGCACTAGTATGTACTAGGACTTTACTTCCTGGAGTAATGTCACTAAAGTAATGTTTGGAAATCATTCTAAGATTATGGACATTTTATTTTCTATTTAGGCTTCTATTGTTGTCATGAAGGTCCTGATTTATGGAGAAGCAGTAATTAGTTCAACTTCTAATTTGAAGCTGGCTTCCAGATACAGTATTTTTTAAAATTTATGTCCATATTAGCTGTTTACAAGAAATAAGCTATACAGCTTACTTCTATAAAGTGTTTCTGCTTGGTCAGAGTAAAATATCCTAGAAAAAATATTTTTTGTTGATATGGATGCTATATATTGCTCTTATTTCTGGTATCATAAAAGCTGTAGAGAATCATACTCCTAAATGAGCTTACAGTGCTGGAGATCTGGCCAAAATTAAAACAGAAGGGATGATTAGGAATGCGTGTTGTTTAGGATGTACACATTGATGTACATCAATTAATTAATTGAGAATGTAATCCAATATAAATTCAAACTCTGGATTTAATTCATGTGGTATTACTCAACACTTCTAGACTTTTTTTATTGCAAGCCAGTTATGCTCTAGAGGCCCTCCCAGTGTTGGACAGATCATGCGTAAGGTGAAATGAAGGGCCTTGTCATTATTGCCATGCAACTTTGCAGCATTTCCTCTTCGTTTTGTGTGGGTTTTTTTTATTCTCCAGAGAAAAAAACTCTGTCTCTTCTTGGTTGGGAAAAAAGTGGTGACTAACATTCACATTTGGAATTCACACTGCCTGGGGGAAGATCATCTGTCTCCCTGAATCTGTATCTCACTGTATCTGCATCACCCACCAGGGATCAAAAACTGCAAGATTTCCTTCATTAAAAGAAGATGGGTCTTGCCTAGAAGATAATTTCCCCCAAACTGCACCAGTA